CCCCTCTGATCCTCAACACAAGGTCCCCCCAGGGCTGCTGCCTGAGCCCACGGAAATGCTGAAACTTGAGAACAAAAGCACAGGAAGAGATTAAGTTTACAAGCTTTAACAAAAGAAACATGAAACCAAAAGGCTTTAACCAAAGAGAATAATTTAATGAGCTAAACAGTCACCAAACAGAATCCTACTACTACTCCTCCTTGAGGCTCTGACACACCCTTTTATACAGCTCAATCCCATGTGACGATCCCCCCAGGCTAAACAGCTCATCAGACAATCGGTGTCCACAGGTCGTGTTCTGGAAGCCTGCAGAGGCGCCACACTGTGGCCAGTCCTCTCTCAGGGCAGCCTGACAGAGAGGAACTGATGGAGGAGCCTGTGGGAGAGGCAGTGGATACAGGAGCTTCCTGGACACACAACTCTAGACCAGAGCGATCAGTGACCTGATCAGGAAGGAGACTCGGAGACCGCTTCGGAGAACACGTCAGGGCTGTGAAGATTAAAGATCTCTCCAAGCCCATTGTTTCTCATTTCACCTCTGACGGCCACGACCACTCTAATCTATGGAAGCCCTGTGGAAGCCCGTTTCCGCCAGTGAGTAAAAAAAAAACGCGCTATGGTATCTCAGAATTGCGACTTGGCAAGTCAGAATTCCGACTTAGCATCTCAGAATTGAGACTTAGTAACTCAGAATTTCGACTTTATATCTCACATTTGCGACTTCGAAATAGCCATATTTCATTCTGTCCTTTTGTTATTGTAACGGATTCGGGTTCTAGGGCTTGTGCCCTCGCCGCTCCCACCCTAGTTCGTGCCTCGCTGCATGGGCTCGAACCTGAGTCTTCTCAGCTGAGCTAAAGAAGACCTTTTTTAAGTAAAAAAGGACATACAATGGAAATACGTAAAAAGTATGTTTCAGCTTTTATAATTGTGAATTCCTCTGGATGTGAAGTGCCTATTTCTGTATCTTATTTCATATTCTGTCTCCGTAAATAAAAACTATTTTTAAAAAGCCCACCGCCTCACTGGCGGTAATGGGATTCTATAAAAATTAGTGCAATTAATTTGATTTTGATCAGGGCACTGTACAAGACAAGTCTTCAGGCTTATAGATCCTATGATCCTGTACGATTCATGAAAATAGTGTAACGGAACGGCCGACATACAGATTGTACGATCTGGTTGCAGTGTGGTGACGGCACCGCCCTCCCCTGCGCATAACAGGGATGCTGGCCGCCGGGGTTAAAGAAAGTGTTCTTTAGCTCAGCTGGCAAGACCTGGGTTCGAGCCAATGCAGTGAGGCACGAACTAGGGTGGGAGCGGCGAGGGCACAAGCCCTAGAACCCGAATTCGTTACAATAACAAAAGGACAGACAATGAAATATGGCTATTTAGAAGTCGCAAATGTGAAATATAAAGTCGGAATTCTGAGATACTGAGTCGGGATTCTGAAATACTAAGTCGGAATTCTGAGATGCTAAGTCGCAATTCTGAGATACCATAGCGCATGTTATTTTTACTGCCTGGCGGAAACGGGCTTCCATACTCCACGGCCGAAACGTTGTGTTCTCTTTCTTCTTTTTTTCAGCATGGAATAAACCTATTACTTGTTCCTTTGCAGCCTACGCATGCTGACGCAGCTACCCACCTGAACATTTATCCCAATCGACACCTCCTGCTGTAATTGAAGGCCTAAGAATTTCCGTATTTAGAGTTGTAAAGGAACAGGTACAGGTGTATTCCACGCTGCAAGAAAAAGAAAAGAGACGCAGCCGAAACGTCGTCTCTTCTTTTCAGCGTGGAATAAATCTTCACCTGCTCCCTTGAAGCCTACGCACGTTCACGCAGCTCCTGGACTATTTAACTATTTAAAGCCCTTTTTTGTTGTTATTGCTGCTGTTGTTCCGTGTTTAGGTTTGGAGTTTTCTTCGTGTCTTTGTATTGAAACCTACAAATAAACTGAACTGAACTGATATTTAAAGTCGCAGTAACAACGTGAAAAGCGATGTCAGAAGGGGACATTTCACAGTGTGGCCGCCAGGCGGAGACATCACTACACGTGTCTATGAAGGGCTGTTCTAATGAAGCCCTTTTCAGTTTCCAGCTGTGCTCCACTGACTGTGATGTAATCTGTATCCAGTCCAGCTCCTGACCCTGAGCCTCAGTGACACAGCAGACACCAGCTCCAGGCCAAGAGTCTCAGAATGACACTCTCACAAGCTCCGAATGAGCCTCAGTGGGATGTTGTGCTGAAGGTGCCTGAACATTTGCCTCTCTCCCTGATCTTCCTGAACACATCAGACAAACAGGTTCAGTGCAGTGTGCTGACTGAAATCCTATTTTCCTCACAAATGTTTAACTGTGATTGCAGTTTGTCAGCTCCTGATCTCTTTGGCTTGAGATCAGTTTTATTTCTTCCTCCATCACCTGCTGGTTCTGACACACTGGCTGGAAACGAACTGGTTAGCTGCAAATCTTTCAGCCACTATTCGATCACCTGGGCTTCTCCGCCACAGTCCAGAACAGTTTGTCTGAACTCATTTCAGACAGTCCTGGAGAAATCTGTCCCTGCCTGTCACTTGTGTGTGCCTATTTATTTGTCCAGATCAGAGATCCGTCACTTTCCAGCTCCAATTTTAAATCCCTGATCAGTTTTATGGGTCAGGGGTCAAATGTGTAGGTCTTTGGCGTCTCGTACACCAATTCTTATTCCACAAGACACCTCGTTTGTTTGGGCGGAGAAAGTAAAGTAACTGGCTCTTTAAAACCGCCTGTAGCCTGGGATTGAGTCATCATAAGAGTGACAGGGAAAAACACCGCGAACACTTACAGCACATGGTGAGGGAGCAGGGGGGAGGAGCTGTCCAGGGTGCTGAAGAGAAGTCAGATTTGTAAAAGTCGACTTTCACAAAGAGAACTATATCTTTTTATCGCCAGAGCGAGATACATTTCTGGCATAAGAAACACATTGATCAAAACCAGAGCGACAGAGGTATATAGGCTCTGCACAACACTTGTCTATTCAAGCACAGCTGAACAGTCCTTGCACGGGGATTGTTATGCCCCAGGAACTGTTTAAATGACCTCATGAGCTCCGGGTTACTAAAACTTCAAATCTGCCTGCAGCGCAGCGCCCTGTCACTGGACCTCCTGCCCCACGAGGGTTTTGTGCTCAGCCACCTACCTCAGGCTGCGCAGCTCTTCTGCTCCATCTGCGCACTTGGAGCCAGTGGATTCCTCGGCTGGTCCTACAGCGACACGGTTTTGACCTTTTCGCAAGCTGCGCTGGAACAGGCAGGTGTTGCTTGAGAGCAGGAGCGAGCGATACTGCCCTTACCGCAGTGTGTTGAGCAGCCTCATCTCTTTTCGACCTCATCAGGCTAGTCGGGGCTTGACAGCTGTGACTGCAACATCTACAGATTAGCTTAGTTGTGATTCGGTCTGGCCAGCGTGGTCTTGGATGAAAGCAGAGCAGAGAGGATCCAGAGATTGCCAGGTGCAATGTTCAAACGAGTGGTGCGACAGACTAGGATCCCGAGACGAATCTATCCAGTGAGTGAGCCTCTCTCTTCCACCTGCCCCACTACCCAGCACCTGCAGCTCAGCACAGTCCTTATATTGGCACGAACGCTCCGGGTTCTGTGTCCGAGGTGTGCAGAATGACAGGCTGGAGGTGATTCTACAAGCTCCCTGACAGTTTTATTGTGCGTTTCATTCCAGTGGGGTGTGCCAATCACTAAGGCCGCGAGAGATCAGGCAGGCGGGATGCAGAGGAGGGCTTCCTGTTCATTTTAGACAGTTACTGTAAGTTATCACTCATTTTAATTGATCAGTTACTTGAATTAAGTCAATGCACTAGTACTTTAAATTGTGCTTTTTTGTCTTTTAATCAATTTATACTATGAACTGTAGTACATTCCTAACTTCCTAGTTAGACTTTCTAACTAACAGGTCTCAACAGGTCAAATTGGGTAAGTGCTTACCTGACATTCGCTACACATCAATTGGATCACCACAGGGCTGTGTCTTGTCCCCTCATTTTGTACACTCATGATTGCAGATGCAAACACACAGACGAAGTTTGCTGATGACACAGCCCTGGTCAGTTTATTAAAGGACACAGAATACCATCATGGGCCCATTCTAAATAATTTTACTAACTGGTGCAACAAAAAGTTAAAAATGTTTCAAAAACCAAGGAACTGGTTATTGATTTTAGGAAAAATACCTCACCCCCTCAACTCACTACAGTATAAGTGATGGTCAGCCTGTTGAAAGTGTCGATGACTAAAGGTACTTGGGACAAAAACCTAAAATGGGACAAATGTTTGTGACACTATAAAAAACGCCAACGGAGACTCTTCTTTCTTAGAAAACTCAGCTACTTTAAGGTAGATAAAACTATTCTTACACTTTTCTACAAATCATTCATTGAAAGTGTCTTGACATACTGCTTCACTTGCTGGCTTGGTAACACAAGTACCGGTAATTGTAACAGGCTGGGTAAATTAGTGAATATAAGTGGCAAAATAATCAGGAATAATCAAATTAACTTAAGTTTGAGCAACGAGTCAGCAGCTTCTCCCTCTTCCCTCACAAACATTAGAGCAGGACAGTTCTGCCCATGAATGCTTGTAAATAATAAAAGTATATAAACCCTTCAGCACTTACTCCAGCTTCCTGCGAGTTTCAAGACAACGTTAGGGCACGCATCCCCAGCGACCGAAGAAAAAGAGGCAGGGCCGTCGGGTTTATAAACCCAAGTTTTGACCTTTATTGAAACACAAGAGTGAACACACATTCTTAAGTGACCACGCGGCCAGCACGACCTTTGACCCTGAGAGGTGGTGCTGCGCCTTCTGCTATTTACAGCAACACGAATAAAAATAAAACAAAAATCTGAAAACCCAGTCCGACATCCGGCCCCAGCGATCGAGCAGGCGGCCCGCCCCGGGCGGGCTGACCCCGGGTTCGACCCACACGAGGAGAGGGGAGCCTTTCAGAACCCCCGATCCCGTCTGGAGCTGAGGCAAGTCTTGTCCTAGAACTAATCTCCATTCTACCGACTTCACCCCGAGAGCAAAGGCAGGTTGTTGGAACAACAGTTGAACCCTGCGGTCCGTTCACAACACGCCCGTTGGAACTTCAGGAAAAATGGTTTTACCTTGAGTCGCCCACTGTGCCCAGGGCACAGCCTGGGAATTTAGTGCCGGAGACCGATAGCGGGCGGGCAGGACTCCCCTCTCCGAACGCGGGCACCTTGCGTCAGCGGCTCAGGGCGGCATCGTTATTATTTATGCAGCTGTGCTTGCCCAATAAACACGAAAGCACGGCGTCCTACTAAGGCAAGAGTGGCACTGAATATCCGAAAGCACACAGTGGAAATCAGTATTATCTTAAGGCCAACAAAATGTAAAAAAAAATAAAATAAAATTTTAAACCAGTAACAAAACGAGTACCGTGAGAAACGTCAACACTAACAGTAAGTGTCAGCAGCCCTGCAGTGATCCGGACACCGAGTGATAGGCTTCAGTCACGTCACGCCCTGGGGCAGCGGGCTGAGGGCGCCCCCCTCTGGCCGGGGCATCTGGGCAACTGCGCCGCCCGCATTCAGAGCGGGATGGTGGTCCGCCGCTGTATCCCCCCCCCGATCCTGACCACGCGGGTGACCAGGCAGGAGGAGATCGCTGGGGGCGGAGCACAGTCCTCTTGGTGTCAGCGGTGAGCTCCTATTGGCCGGGCTGAGCGGCGACAGGCCCCTCAGCGATAGAGAAACGGCCTCCGTCCCGCCCGCTGACGTCTTTCAGCGAGGGAGGCGAGAGCTGGGATGAGGACACTTCTCTCACAGGGAGAGCTGCTCCAAGTCAAAGGGGCGAAGGGACTAGGGGCGTACCCAGCGCAGACAGGCACAGGGGAAGTAGTACCGTAGTACCGTGATGAGTCAGGACCCTCTGGGCGCGGGAAGGCGGGGCAGGCCGGGAGCGACGCTCGGCGCGGGCGCGAACTGGCCGGCTGGCTCCGCCCCGTGACGTGACCGTCCCGCTAGCGCTTCCAAGCTGCGAACTCACACAGATTAAAAATACATTCATCGAGGACACCTCTTTAAAAGAAGGCCAACGGAAAAGGAAAAAAAAAAAACCCACTTCCAGTTAAAAATGGCTCTCGCACGTCGACAGACACAGCGACATTAAAATCGGCACGGAGGGGGATGGGGAGGGGGAGCGGGGCCTCAGACCACAAGTTTGAACTCGGTGGTGGTTTTTTTTTAGCTATTGGCACACCTGTCGGATGCGACCGTACGGGTTCAGCCCAGGCACGGAAACAGCCCTACCCTTTCCCAGGAGGCTGCAGGCCGGCTGCCGTGAGTGGTGACCATCGGAGAACGGCCGCCTGTCTGGGGATTCTCGGCAGGGAAGCTGACCAGGAACAGGCTCACATCCGGTCTTGTCCCCCTGGTTATTTCAGCTTGTTCGCTGCTTTACCATGCTGTCTCTGCTCCCACGGTTTTCACCGAGAACCTTAAAGGAAGTCGAGTCCTGGTCCTCCTGCCCCAGAGCACTGAAAGGTTTTGGCACATCCAGGAACTACAACAGCTCTTTTAGGTGTGTGAAGGCCAGGCATTTCTTTCATGTGTGTGTATATATATATAAGGGTGTATTTGCTTCATGGAGGTAAGGAGTTTGGCATTCTCAAAAGACCAGTTCTGGAACAGGCAGGTCCAGTGTGTGACTCCCCTGTGGGTTAGACCAGTCCCTGGCCATCCTGGTCCAAAAGCAGCCGGCGCGCAGGCTCCTCCAGGCCTAAGGGACAGGAAGTGAAGCGGGGGGACAGGTTTCCGTGTCGCGCGCGCCTCAGATCTTCAGCCCAGCTCATCGCCGGCAGCAGCAGGCAGGGAGAGGGGTCTACACACCTGTTTAGTTTTGGTTCGGGCGAGCGGTCCAGAGGTCGGGTTAGGGTTCGAGGCGTTCTGCTGCCGACGGATCCCGAGCTCGGCTGAAGCACGACGCCCTGCCCCCCCCCACCAGCTGGCGGAAAAGCCCCGGCAACGCGCACCTCCTTCACAGTTTTTCTCATCCTCTAAAGTCCGTTTTTTTTTCCATCCCCACCTACCTACCTACATATAAAAATAAGTTATTGCGCATCCTAAAAAGTGCATTGAATATTTCAAAAATATTTCTTTCGTGAACCTCGCGAGCTCCGCAGTCGGAAGGGAGCTGTGCCCGGAGACGCGGCCCCTCCGCTTGCCAGGGGTCAGGGGGGGGGGAGTTGGCTGCCCCCCCACCAGCCGCCTCCAGCAGGCACAGTCGCGGACACAAGAGTGAGGGAGAGGGACGAGCAGAGAGAGGGAGAGAGAGACGGGGAGAGTCCGCGGGGGGCGGGCTCCTCTACGCTATCACCATGGGAACGTCGTCGGAGAAGCCGCTGATCATGGGGGCGTCCTCGTCATCGTCGCCTGGAGAGAGAAAGAGAGACACGGAGGGGGGTGTGAATGGCACACAGGCTCTCGCCTCCGAGCTCTGCTTCAGATGAGACGCAAAACCGAGGTCCTGACTCTCTGTGGTCATTAAAAATCCCAGGGCGTTTCTCGAAAAGAGTAGGGGTGTCACTCCGGTGTCCTGGCCAAATTTCCCCCTGGCCTTTCCCAGTCATGGCCTCCTAATAATCCCCATCTCTGAACTGGCTTCATCACTCTGCTCTCCTCCCCACTGAGAGCTGGTGTGTGGGGAGAGGACTGGAGCATCATCCAGGTGGGGCTGCACACTGGTGGGGGTGGAGGGGATCCCCACAACCTGTAAAGAGCTTTGAGTGGAGTGTCCAGAAAAGAGCTCTAGAAGTGTGAGGAGTTATTATTATTATTATTATCCCAAACCCTCCGGGCGGCAGGCAGGAAACGGCGCTGGCGAGAGTCCCGCCCGCTTACCCAGCTCGTCCCCGGAGGAGAAGATGGCGGAGCCCAGCCGGGAGTTGTAGTGGCTGTTGGCGAAGGCCGTGAAGCTGTGCTGCAGGCGGCGGTGCCGCACATACAGGACGACGAAGCCGCCGCCCAGCGCCAGGAGCAGCAGGAAGAGCACGGGCACCACCACGGCCGCCACGTCCCCCGTCCGCCCGGCCTGCGAGGCCGCGGGGCTCCCCTCGCCTGCGGAACGACACCTGGGATCAGAACCCGCCTCCGGGGCGCTGCTAATTGGCAGCCCCACTGGAGCTCAGCAGTGTGAGCCTGGCCAGTACCTGGATGGGAGACTCCTGGGAAAGCTGAGGCTGCTGCTGGAAGAGGTGTTAGTGGGGCCAGCAGGGGGCGCTCACCCTGCAGTCTGTGTGGGTCCTAATGTTCCAGTGTAGTGACGGGGACACTATATTGTAAACAAGAGCCATCCTTTGGATGAGATGTAAAACTGAGGTCCTGACTCTCTGTGGTCATGAAAAATCCCAGGGCGTTTCTCGAAAAGAGTAGGGGTGTCACCCCGGTGTCCTGGCCAAATTTCCCCCTGGCCTTTACCAGTCATGGCCTCCTAATAATCCCCATCTCTGAACTGGCTTCATCACTCTGCTCTCCTCCCCACTGAGAGCTGGTGTGTGGGGAGAGGACTGGAGCATCATCCAGGTGGGGCTGCACACTGGTGGGGGTGGAGGGGATCCCCATTACCTGTAAAGCGCTTTGAGTGGAGTGTCCAGAAAAGCGCTATATAAGTGTAAGCAATTATTAATTATTATTAACTGAGGCACCTATAAAGGAAGCTCAGGCGGCCATCTCAGTGTTCCTAACTGAACCTCGCCTTGGTCCTTAGACGGAGGCGCTAACACGTTACTTTACCTGGAGGGGGAAAGAAAATTTCGTCTGATCTGCTGTTCCTCTACCTTCGCGTACGAGATCAGCTCCGCAATCTGGCCCTTACGAGGCTGAGACTCCCTCAGCTGCTCCTCCACTTCTCTCCAGAGAGAGAGGCACTGATGAGGGACCTCTGTCCGCGCAGGAACCCCGCTATTAAAGCGACAGCACCCCGTGGCAGCACTAACTGCGGCTGCTGTGCGACCCGAGCAGCGGGCGAGCGGTCAAAGCTGATCCCAGACTCCAGCTGCCCAAGAGCAATCCGAGTGCCGCCCCGTGCCTGATCGAGGGCCGCGGCGTGAATCACAGGACCCCCCCCGCGCCCCCGCGCCCCCTCACCTGCGGCCAGCTCGTCGTACAGCAGCAGGGCGGGCTCCCCGCACAGCTGGCCATTCAGCAGGCAGCGGGCCTGCACGGAGAAGGTGTAGTTGTGCCCCGCGAGGAGGCTGCTGATGCGGAGGAAGTTCTCGGTGGTGTTGCCCAGGCAGGTGCTGGAGTTGGTCACGCTGTCGTAGACGTGAACCTCGTACCCCTGCGCCGACGGCAGAGAGAGGCAGAGAGAGGGATGATGGGGCTTCCCTAAGTGTTAGAGCGCCGGCCCCCGGCGAACCAGCACGGTGCTTTTATTCTTGTCCCAGGCTGTCCCTCTAGGTTTTGCCCTGTTTTTACCCCATGTCCTCCTGTGGTCTTTGCACATTTACAGCCTCCCGAGCCAATTACCACAGCAATCACGGCCCCAGTACGGGGCTACACTCACCCTGTTCTCGTCAAAGATCTTGTCCTTCAGCGCCAGGCTTTTCCAGAACAGGAAGATGTGGTCGTTCTCCGACAGGATCTTCAGGGCGTCCGGCGCCGGCAGAGGAACTGTGGACAGTCAGATAATATTTGCTGTTTGGGTTACAGCTACGAAGGGTCAACCGCAGAAGCTCTGAATCCTGTGAGCTGTTAAGTAACGCAAGGGGAATCGGCTCAGTTCAGTGCTGCCGGGGTGACAGACGAACTCTGAATCCCTCTTTAGCTGTGAGCTGTTAAGTCACGCAAGGGGAATCGGTTTGGTTCAGGCCTGGTGTTGTAACAGACGAACTGCTGAAGCTCTCTGAATCCCTCTTTAGCTGTGAGCTGTTAAGTCACGCAAGGGGAATCGGTTCAGCTCCAGCCTGCCAGGGTGACAGGCGCAGATGGGGTGCTGACAGAGCAGGGGGTTCTTGGGTTGTGGGGAGCGGGGGTGTCACCTGTGCTGAAGGTGTAGCTGGCCTCCTTGCTCATGTTGGCCAGGCGCACGGTGACGCTGTAGCGGCCCCCGGGTTCGAGCGAGCGCAGGGTGTACTCCACGGTGTTGTTTGCCGTCTTCACCTTGAAGCTCCTCTCCGCCTTCCTCACTGTGTCCCGCAGGTGAATGGCGTAGGTCTGCAGAGAGAGGGGGGAGGGGACAGACGGGCTGAGGTACAGAGCGGCACAGCAGCACTGCCATCAGAACAAGCAGGCCGTTCCTATAATGCTAGGAGACATTTCTGCTAGCGCTGCCCCCTATGACAATCCGCGGGCAGCAGGAGGAGGGGGCCGAGCCCGGGCCCTCGGTGCTCTTACCAGGGCCTCGCTGGGGTAGTCGCAGGGGGGCTGCCACTTGAGCGTGGCCTGGGTCTTGTCCACCCGCACCCTGTGCAGGTTGCGCGGCGGCAGCCGGTTGCTGGGGATCATCTTCACCACAGCGTAGTCCGAGGGGGGGCCGAGGTACGGGGAGACCACGCGCACCTGTCCCGGACACAGGCACACCGTGAGCTCAACAGGACCGGAGAGACACGCCTCCCGGGGGAAACAGCTAGCGCTTCCCGCTAGCCGCGGGAAAAACTCTAGCCCCAGCTCCCCGAGAGGGAGTACGGGTCTAGGGAGGACGGGAACGCGGCAGAGAACAGAAGCGGACCGGCAGCTCTCGTGTTACTGTGCGCGCGCGCGGAGCGAACGAGACCGAGACGGGTCACGAGGGCGGCTGACCAGGAAGAGGTACTGCTCGTCGCCGTCCACGGTCACGGTCAGGTTGGTGCCGGAGGTGGTGAGGCGGTGCGGGCCGCGGTACAGCTCCAGGAAGGAGGTGGCATAGTACAGGCCGTAGAGCTGGGGAGAAGAGCACAGCAGATCGATCAATCAGTCGATCAATCAAGGTCTGTTTCTCAATCCAGGAACAGTACAGCCTACAGCGGGGCCCCGTAGTCACAGGGCGAGCTTCCGGCCGGCTCCTCCTCCTCCAGACCGCGCTCCGCCATGTTAGCGTAGGGAACGTTCGCGCTTTTCCACGCCGGCTACGAACGGGAGGACGCCCCCTCGCTAGCCCCGCACAGGAGCGCTCTCGGGCAACAGTGACCCTGCCTGCACGTCTAGGCTCGTACCCCTGAACCGGCAGTGAGGTTTAAATCAGCAGGGACAGAGGAAGGGGGAGGGAGAGCTCTTTCTGGGACAGCCTGCAGGCCGCGAGGCTCTGGGGCCGTCCGTTCTCACACAGACCTCACCTGCGCTTCCGGGCCGGACCAGCTACAGTCCACGCTGCTCTGGTTGAGGGGCCGGGCCTTCAGCTGAGGTGGGTCGGGCCTGGTTCCGTGGGTCTGCAGGTGGGAGAAGGAGGTAGGGCTGTCCCCCACGCTGGTCTGCGCCCACGCCGCCACCTCGTACATTGTGCCAGCCGTCAGGTTGCCCACTGGAGCACAGGGGGAGAGGCGAGGCGGGTCGGGGTCAAGATCAGTACACAATCTCATGACTTCTACGACTTCACAGGAACGGGGACTCAAAAAAGGACACGGCCAACATTTCCACTTTTGCAGATGCCATCCTGGCAGGCATTTACAAGTCATTTCCCAGAATTGGGGAAAAACACGGTTGGCAACCATTATCTACAATGGGCCTTGTTTCGTAGAAGGCTAGGTTTCGTCAACCTGATTTCCACCTAAACGGACTTCTTCAAATCAGAGATCATAGGTGTTAAAAGACGTTTTCAGAGCTCAAACATGGGCGCCGGACCACCCCAGCGACGTAGACAAGTCGTACCTGTGTGAGTGGGGCTCGTGCCCTCGACGAAGACGGTTCTGTTCTCTTTGACGTGGGCGTCGAACAGCCAGGACACGTCCACCACGAACCGCTTCACCTGGGGGGACACGCACAGCTGTCAGGCTGGGGGGGCCCCCACACGTCACGGGACGACAGAGCTGACTGAAGAGCTTTTTCGTTTTTACTGGCTAAAAAGAGCAGCTGGGAGCCACTTATACAGTCAGCCCTGGCTTTTCCGCTGGTCGCCCCCCACCCCCCAAAAATTGGGGGAAGTCCAGGGCAGGCGACGGCGTTCCTGCGTGCGTAGCGGATCTGTTGTGTCTTTTCTCTGCGTTTCGTTGTTCGACTGACGTTTTATTGTGCCCCATATCTGTTCTTTTGATTACAAATGGGACCTAAACATGCTTTCTAGCTCTCGCGCTAGTAACCCTGGACATAAAAGACGCAAGAAAGTGATGACTTTGGCCAAGAGGGTCGCACTTTGAGACAGGTTAAAAGAACGACAATGGCATATATTGTTTATCGGGCAGAAAAATGAGATTCATTTGGCGCCAAGACTTTTATGCCTTTCCTGCGTCTCCCCCCTCCCTTTCCACGTGTCAGAAACTGCGAAAATCCAGCAACGTGCTCTCGAATGTTCTCTTAATTCCCCTCGAGTCGAAAAATTGTGTTTTTTTGGAGTTGTTCCGGAGAGGGTGGTCAACCGTTCGCGTTTTTGCATTTTTCGAGGTGAAAAACGAGGGATGGGTGTACTTGTGGCCATTTCGACAGCTGGGGTGTGTCGCCTGAGGGCGGTACCTTGTTCAAGGGTACAACCGCCCACGCCTCACCAGCTCCGACGCACTGCTCCTCCGCTCTGTGGTAAAATCAGGGCCTCAGAGGGGGCAGACAAAGGCACTGACCTGGTACTGGGCGCCGAGGCCGAGAGTCACGGTGAAGGAGCTCTCGGTGGTGCCGTCCAGCCGCACAGTGGGGGCAGGGAGAGCTGGGAGAGAGACGAGAGTCAGGCCCAGCCCCGGACACGCGCCAGCGGACCCGTTCCTACCTCACCCCTGCGAGCGCCGCCTAAACGCACAGGACAGACCCCCGAGACGAGGGCGCGGCGCACAGCGGACGCAAAGACACACTCCCACCGAGTGCGGGGGTGAAGGAACGTCCATCTTGAACACGCGCGGCAGAAGAGCTGGCGCTGCGCACCGGGAAAAGCCAGTCACGCGAGTCTGAGTGCCTCTCACCTTTGCCCTTCTGGGGGGTGACCGACTTGACATCGCTCCAGTTCCCCACTCCCCGGCTCGTCACCGCGGCCACCTGCAACGAAAGCGGCACGACCGATACGGTGAAGGCGGTTCAGAGCAAAGCTGGCTTCTACGTCACTGACGAGCTGCGCGCGATGACACTGACCCTGACGTTGTAGAGCAGGTCGGGCTGCAGGCTCTTGATCTCCGTGTGGTCATTGCCGAGGCTGGAGCTGCGCTGGGAGGTCCACTGCCCACTGGCACTCTCACTGTACTCCACCTGAGAGAGGGGCACGCACAGACAGCAGCCTATGAGGGCCTGAACACACCGAGAGACAGACCCCAGAGACAGGCAGGCCGAGGGGCAGAGGGGCCCCAGAGACAGGCAGGAGGCTGAAAGGGAGAGGTATATAGGTACAGAGAGCAGTTTAGGGGCTGCATGGACAGAGCGGCGCACTCACGATGTACTCTCGAATGAGGCCGTGAGAATTGGCAGGGGGCAGCCACTTGCAGATCACGGTGCCGTCCTCCTCCTCGCTGCTGGACAGCTCCAGATTCTGGGGGGCATCCGGCACTGCGGCGACACCCAGACACCATGAGCACGCAGAGCCCCTAACGGCCCTAACGGACCAAGTGTAGCAGAACGACACTACAGCCATGCCTACTAATATTACCACAGCTGGCACTGCCCTTATCTCAAGTTTCCACATAACGTCTGTCTTTCTCCGACCTGTTATTTTAACATTTATTTGCATTCCGATAGAGTGAGCTCCGCCCGAAGGATCAGCCCCTGTTACGTCTGAATTCCCTCCCTTCGATTTCCGCCTCGTCACCCGCCATCCCCTCGAGACCCTGTGGGGGTTCGGGGTGCCGTGCTGGACCGGAGGGGGGGGGAGGGGGGGACTCACATCCTTCCGGCGTGCGCAGGGTGACGACCTCGTTGCTCTTGTGCAGCTTGCTGAGACACTGCACCTGCACTTTGACCTGGTAGGTGGTGTCCGGCTTGAGCAGCGTCAGGCTGTAGCTGGACTTGCTGGTGTGAGTCTCCACCGTACTCCACTGCGAGCCCACCTGCCTGGAGAGACGGAGGGAGAGTGGGGGGGCGGACACGCGATACCACACGAGGCGCAGGGGGACTTCTAGAGGGGAACCCAACCCAGGGGGGAGCGGAGCTCTTACCTGTAATAGACCACGAACGTGCAGGAGTTCAGCGGCAGGTTCTTGGGTCGGGACCAGGTCAAGGTCACGGTGCCGGAGAAGTCCGCAGTCCAGCGCAGATTCTGAACTTTATAGGCCAGGGAGTCGGCTGGAGAGGACAGAGCCGATTAGCTCGAGAGACAGAGAGAGACAAGACCCCCACCGGATACTGAACAAAACAGGTTGAGTGTTTCCCTCCTCATTCTGCCCAGCCTGCGTTGCTGCTGGCTTGGGAAATGTTAAAGTAACGCCAACAGCATACATTTCACTCCCCTGAGCTGCTGCTCGGACAACAGCCCACATTCTGACGCAGCTCTCTCTCTCTCTGGGTTTCGGGGTCCGGGAGTCCTTACCGGAGCAGTTGGCCTCGTCGCTCTGGTCGGAGCAGTCGATGAAGCCGTCGCAGCGCTCGCTGGGGGACACGCAGGCCTCGCCGTCCGCGCACAGCGTCCCGTTGACGCAAGTCAGGGCCCCGCGGGTGGCTGGGAGAGGAGCAGACAGGGGGGCGACGGTCACTTACCGCCGCTCAGGGCGCACGTGGGCTCTATGTGCCCGCGAATAAGCGCACACTCCAGGACGGCAGCCCAGCCCCACCCAATGAGCAGCAAAACCAGAAGAGGGGCCCTATCCTACGATGAAGAGAGGGAAATCTCTTGCCCTGCGCCTTGCCCTGTCTCTTTTTGGCGCCACTCCTCCAAGCCCTTTTCAGAGTCACATGTTCAGAGTGACAGAGTAAAAACAGCTTTGTGACGACATGATCCTGACTGTCTATACACTGCTTGAGAAACTGTGAAACCGATCATCTCCTACAGGTGACCCAGCTTCTGGGGGGCCTTGTCTTCTGGTTTGTTTCCAATTAAGCAATCCACTGAATTCTTTTCGACATTCAACTACATAAAAGGGTGGCGGCATTGGTGACGCAGGGGTGAGCATTGCTGCCTCGCAGCGCCGAGGCCCGGGTTCGAATCCTGGGGGGGTGCCTTCCGGGTGGAGTTTGCATGTTCTCCCTCCGGGCGCTCCGGTTTCCTCCCACACTTCCTAGGCTCCGGTGGCGCCATCGGCCGGAGCAGCAGTGCACAGTCATGCCGAGGTGGGGAGTTCAAACCCCACCTGGCGCAAAGTCCCATTTCATTTTTAAAACCCGACATCAACCCATCATCAATCCATGCAAGTGGATGTTGGGGCCGGATTATCAAAGTTTGAGAAATAAACTTTAAAGTTTGACTTGGATTTGCACAATGAAAGAGTCCCTCCAAGCCTGTTGCCCCTGCCTTTTCCCTGGCCTGGCTCCGAAACTGC